ACAATCACTCCGTGCTGATTATGCCTTTGTTTATATTTCGCATCTTTTCTGTCTATTCCTCCGCATCACTTGATTTATCTCTCCTCTAATAATGTTTTATCTTTTTAATCAATTCGATTCATTTATGTCTGAGCATTTTACTTCCTACAATTCGAGAAATTCTGCGTATTGAGATTTGGGTCTCAGGGGGTTCTCACGAGAGTGATGAATCCGCTGCCCCTGAGATGCTTGTAAGACAGTGGTAGGGCTGTTACCCATCCAAAGTACTGACAACCACCTGTAAGGCAAGCCACTGTGCTCCTCCAAGGCACATCGCTTCTATCGCGTCTTGCCAAATCAACGTCGAAGATGTGGTGCATGCGAGACAGCGGCACCCTTACTACCCAATACATCTCCACCAAGAAAACGCATCTCAAGTGTCGATCGAATGACGCTTGAACGCAAGAGGTCGATCAAACTAGGAGGCATGGGCGAACTCGAAATTATCTGATCACGCATCCCTGAGTTGAAGCGTGACTAACCGTGGGAGTTGGCACAGCTCGAAAATCAGCGAATTTTCGATATCTGTTTCGAAGACGAGAATCAGTGCCCGGGATCAGTCGTTTAGCGTCGCCCGTATGATCGATCTGTACGGCTCCCAGCGACACTTTCGGGACGATATGCAGGGTTCCGTTGACAAGGTTAAAGCTGGCAGCAGATGTTTCAGGATCTTCTGGAATAAAGCAAGAAGCCCAAAGCAGATGATCTTAACTACCCTTTCTTCAGAGGTTAAAGGAAGCAATGTTCATTCAGGTCTGATGTCATGAAAACGAATCTGATGACCATCCATTGATGCACAATATGCATCGAAAATAGTCACGGGCATGCTCACAGGGCATATGTATTCACCTCATGTCTGTGAATCATACTTCACACCCCGGCTCTGTCGTGCTAACTGATTCATGATTCCATGCTCTATCGCACACGAAAGCACAACGAGGTCCTCGGTACTCAATGCTGGCCAAGTAAAGTCCCTGAAGCTGAACAGCTATCTGCCAATTGCGACAATCTTAGCATGATAAGGTGTGCGTTCGAAAGCCTCCAGTCCTTGCTTGACGTGACATAGAGCACACAGGTCGGCGAATAGAATTGATCAAAGGATACCGGACCGCTTGCCCGGTTTCGCGACAGCGTATCGTAATCCATGGAGGACGAAGCTCAACGGGAGGTGGGAGACAATTCCGACGCGACTCCGAGCGCGACCTCGATCTATTTGTCGAGGCATCCAGCAAGCCGGTTGGCAGCGTTGACGCATCCTCACAGAGTCCATGTTCCCATCTGTGGCTGGCCAGAGCAGATGCCGGGGATAGACTGACCCCGTCGACAATGTGATGACCCACGGACCAACTCGAGGAGAGCTTTGGCGTTGGGCCAAAAGTGAAAGGAAGTAAACAAGTTTCGGGAACTGATTGAATCTGCACAAAGACGAGTTGCACGAGATAAAGCATCCCTTTGAGTCGCAACTTGAGCAATATCGCTTTGCGAAGAAGTCGTCTTTTGTCCTTTCTGTGTCTTGGGCTTTGACAATCCCACTCCTTTCAACGACGAAAGGTCATGAAATTCATCAGTCTCCTCTAGGGGATGAAGTAGAATTGCAGGACTCTCAAGATGGGGCGTTGAAGGCTGACTGGGCTTGCGGATTTGCTCGGGGGCGCCTCAGGGTAGCGTCCACGGCGAATGCTCGTCGCCAATGCCTGAAATCCGAAACAAGAAGCTTCTGCCCGCCGTCCAGGCGAAGGGAAGCAGGAAACCGATGTCTCTACGGGTGAGCTCTGTGCGCAATTGTCGTCTTCCCGTACCTGCGCGGGAAGCTCACCATGACGGGCCGTTCCACCTTAGAGGAATGCGAAGGATCCCTGCTTGACGACGCATTCCTCCAGAAGCACCATCCTCCAGGGAACGGAGAATGTCTCTGCAGACAGTCGCGCATCGGACCGACGTAAGAGTTCTCATGCCTTTTCGTCGTATCCAAGGCAGATATCCATGCTTTTCGCTCCTTTGTCTGAAGGGAGGAGGAGCATGGGCTCGCTGCATCGTATCCCTCCCTGCGAAAGGGAGCCCACTACTTTAACAGCATTTTCCCCGGCGGATGCTCTCATATCGTATTTCTTTATATTCTCTCTTCCCTTTGACCATCGGATGCTGTTCAGCCTTCCAGAACACCTTCTTGCACACGTCCCCGTCCAAGTTTGTCTCCCTTTCGTTGTGTGGTGTCCGCAGATACGATACACGCATACATAACCGGCCACCTGCTGCTCGTTCCCTCACCAACAGCTGCTGGTTGCTTGGTCAGTTCACCTTTTTTTCTTTCTTGAATCTCTGCGCTCATTGAGCTCAAAGAGTGTTTTGCTATCATACCAATTGGCCTTCGGTATGTCTTTGAATCTCTGTGATATTGGCATTGTATGAACCGTCCAAAGACCCCCTGGTGTCAAGGCACACGGAAGATCCCCTTTCCCCCTTTTTCAGTCCTTTCAGGGGCAGGGTAGCGGAGACGCCCGCAGGCCGTATCTCGACAGGGCATCCCCAAAACTACTAGCATCGACGAAGCCTTGCTTGGACCCAGTCAAAGCGGTGTCTTTGCATGTCCAATTCTAGGAAGCCATGGGCTAATCTGTTCTCAGGTTCCATTGTTACTGTGCAGCACCGTTACGTGGTGGACCTGTTCCAGTACTCAACAGTATCTTCTTGCTGTGTCAGGCACATATACATCTCTATTGCAGATTGATTCTTCTGTTCTACGGCATTTGATCAGACCTGAAGAAAGGGGCAGACTGTTCTTTTATAAAGCTCATCAGTCCTTTCACTTTCTGATAACAAGAGATCTTGAAAGCACATCGCCATACAAAAAACTGAGTCTTCAAACATCTGATCACCTAAAGAAGACATAAACATTCTTTGGTACAACAGCCTCGTTTATCAAACATCATCATGGCAATGAATCATCCACCAACTCCACCATCGTCCTTTGATGGCGATTTACAGGGAACTATCGGGCGTTTTGCTACACATACCCCATCCCCTATGCATCCAGGCTATCTCGACCATCAATTGTCTCCCTATGATTACTTTGGGTCTGAAGTCGATGATCAATTTGTGGGTTACCTTGCTGTATCTCATGTCATAATGCTTAAGGATGACAGAGCTAATGCATTTATGATAACAGAACGGAGTTCCTGCGCTCCATTATGGAACTCCAATGCAGTCGTACATGCCAGATACCCCTGGGTTCCAGTCAAAGAGACAAGAAACTCACATGTTGACTCCTACTGCTACACCAACCTCAAAGCCAACCGTCACTTCTCAGCCCGCAAGAACTAGCACTCGCAGTAAGACCACGAAAGTTTCAAAGACTGGAATGCCTGAGCTCAACCAGCCGCTCAGTATCTTGACACAGCACATGCACCACATTCCTCTGCGTGACATGGAAGCACACGTTCACCGGCCATTCGAGGTACGGATGCAAGAAGTAGAAAAGAAGAATGGGAAGATTGCTAGGCCGATGAACTCATTCATGTTGTACCGATCTGCCTATGCTGAGAGGACTAAGGAGTGGTGCTCGAAGAACAACCACCAAATTGTCTCCAGCGTCTCCGGCCAGAGCTGGCCCCAAGAAACTCTTGAAATCCGCGAGAAATATGAGAGGCTGGCAGTGATTGAGAGAGAAAATCACAAGAAAGCCCATCCGGACTACAAATTCGCCCCAAACAAAAACAACATTGCACCGAAGAGGAAGAGAACCCCTGAGTTCGGTGACAGCGACTATGAAAGCACAGATGGCGATTTCGGTGGATACAAACAATACTCAGAGATGTCACGCATGGCAAATCAGAGAAGAATGCACACATCAGTGCCTTATGGCATGTCGCACCCGTATCAAGCGGCCCTTGAGCACAATCATATGCTAGCCAGTCAGGCTCATATGGATGCATGGTCATCCAACTCCCAAAGAACTGCATTTGACGAATACCAGCGCGCTCTTCTAAGATCTCAGATGGATCAGGATATGATGAGACCCGCCGACCCGTACTCACTCAGTCAGTATCACGGAAATGACTTCAATTTTACCGCCAATCTCACACCCAGTGGTCATCGTCAAACACTTGAGGCCCCCGTTCATGATTCACAACATCTTTCAACGCCCTTCACCAACGCAGTCGATCCGCAATTGCTGGAGTACAGGAATGACAACCCCATGAATCACACCTTGGACACTTCCAGCACATTGGATCCCTGTCTTCTGTCATACTCTCATACACCAGGTCAGGTTTCCCCAACGACAACCACACTATCAGACCCAATGTCGTCGCCGCTTGACCCGACATACCCGCCAAACGACTCGCTGAAGTTCGGCTACGAGGGCTTGAACTTCCCACCCGACCCATTCCCTATCGAGTAAGACGGTGGATGCCGGTTTGAGTCAATATCAGACGGAGAGCAGACTCTATACGATGCTTAAGATACCCCACGATTAATGGCTAAACAGCGTTAGCCAAACCACTCGTTTGTCAACGCGATTCTCTTTTGTTACTTTCATAGAGTATTGTCGATTCCTTGCCTGGCTTTCTTTTTTTTCCTTTGTCCGGTTCCCTCTGTTAGATCATCTTCTCATTTGCCACACTGCTGCTTAGACAGTACATTCCCTGTATTTCTGATGTATTTGAACTTCCACGACCTGGTTGTATGGAAAAAACCAGACTTGATGTCCAGACTCACGCCCTGTCACTCGTTCAGATTTCCTATCATATATGGTCTCCTATCTGTTCTTTTCTATGACAATGAAGTGTTCAATATTCTTAACTGTGCCTCTTCTGTGCAATGGCGTATCTTGTACGTGACATTCAAATCAGTTAGAAGTCGACTAGCTATTGATAAAGGCTTCCCCGGCTCCTAGTCCCATGAACGATTGGCCCCTGAACCTCAGGGGTGGGTAAGAGACGCAAGCAAAAAATAAAAAGATGTGACCAAGCCCAGACTCGAACTGAGGACCTTTTCGGCGTTAACATGAAATGTTAACGAAACGTGATCCCTCTCTCTATTAAACCATTAGGCCTTCCCAAAAGTTGTCACTTTTCCCACCCCACAAAAAATTCGCCCTTTTTCACTTAAGTACAGATCCCCTTCCAGGCATCGTACTGTGACTCCAAAAAAAGGACTGTAATCGCAACCGTACGGAGGCCACTCTGTTTAAATGGCATCCTTCTTTGAGACGAACTGACCATTCTGTAATCGGAAGAAGTTGACCTTCGAAGAAAAGACCATGAAAAAGTGACAACGCCACACTACGGTCCTTGCATGAAGATGAGGTCGAACTGACCAACCACAGTGCGTTAACGACCAACCTTGCATGAATTCAAGGCAGAAACGACCAATCACAATGCGCAAAAAACGCCACACTACGGTCCTTGCATGAAGGAGATTTGGACGGTAGTTGTCGCCCTGACGGACGGAGTGTCCGAGTAAAGGGTTGACCGGCCGGTGTTTGTGCGTTGTGATATGCGTTGTGATGGATTGCAGGAAGGCAGGTCGACAAAATGATGAGTGGCATTCGAGCCTGCACGGTGACGCACAGTAGGCTCCAAAAGAACGGTGTACGCTTAAAAGGACAG